CTGTGATGTAATTCAAGCCAGACACTTGGCATCTCTTCTTGGGTGCAAGGTCATCAATGTTTGGGGTCAGGCTCTGAGCTGAGGAGACCCTCAGGATGGAGTGAAGGTGTGCGTGCAATATACCGGCGAGCCAGATCTAATAGTAATTAGAAATTATCCTGCGGGCCGAAATTAAATCAATCAAGGGCCTGATTTGGCCCCCGGGCCTTGAGTTTGACACATGTGGTCTAGATGGTAACTCTTGATTTAGAAAACTTGGTGAGAACTCTAAAGAGACTCGGTGCACAGCATCCTTTATCTTAACCCAAACTATTCAAGGTCAACAGAGTGTTGCGTGGATAGTTTTTTAGGCCAACCTGGAAGTCGGCATCTTCCTGGATCACTTGACAAAGGGCCAATGGGATATTTTACAATGGATTTTTGATCATTGCAGCATAAAAGTTCATGATGCTTAAAGTTTTGTTAGGCAGGGGTTCAGATGGATACAACAATGTTGCTGTTTTTCACCTGAATATCTCTCGCTCTCTCATAAGACTGGTAGGCAACTTTTTCCTCCATGCTGGCGAGCTCCTGTTTAAGGTTAGTCATCTCATTCTGGTGCAGCTCTGTTAAGTCATTCAGCTGTTCTTCAAGTCGCTCATACCTAAATATGCAGAAAAAACATGTTCAGAATAATGCAAATAACATAAACTAACTGTTGAACTAGATTATCACAATAAACAGTGTAGTTAATTTAAGTCGAACCTACACATTATTGACTCCTTTTTAAGTAAAGTGGGCTAAAAAATAATAGTGCCCAGCTGTGAAATGAAATCTTTAAAAAGTGAAATACTTTGTACTCAATAATAAAGCTTGACTAGACATTATGTTGTGACCTGTACCTGTATCTCTCTTCCTGCAGGCACTGTGTCATGTAGGAGTAGTCGCTCTGCAGCTGGCCCTTCATGTCCTCGATGGCGTCCTCCATGTGCGCCTGGCTGGCTTTGATCTCCTGCAGGCCCTCAAGTAGAGTGTCCCAGGAGCTGTGCATGTGATGGTGATGGTGATGGTGCCCGTCCAGTCTGGGGCTCCCCATGGTTGGTCCTAACAGTCCCCCCCCTCCTCCGCCTGCACCACCAGAATTGCTGCCCGCTCCGGAGCAGGACGTGGCGCTGGAGCACTCGTCGTCGCTGCCGTACTTTGGGCTGGAGACCAGGGTGGCACTTCCACTCAGTGCACGATGTGTCAGGGGGTCGTCAGAGTGGCCCCCGACTCCGTCCTCGAGCGAGTCCTTTAGATGAGCAATGTTATCCGCGCTCCCAAACTTGTTCCTGATTAGACTGGCAAACTCTCTGGGCTTGGAGACCACGGCTGTGTGAGTGAGGGCAGATACTCCACCTTTGACCCCATCAACTACTCCACCTCCAAAACCACTTATTCCAGCACGAACATTGGCCCCGACGTCCTTTAATCCCTGCTGCATGTCCCGCAGGACATCCTTAGGCTGCCGGGCCGGTCCATTCTGTGGAGAGGGCAGAGAAATGAGGAAGCAGAGAAGTGGAGGAAGGTAGGAAAGATTAGGTTAAGGGAGAGAACTGTAGGAAGATAGATGAGGAAAGCAGGGCCCTGCAGAGAATTAGGTGAGACACAGGATGGTGCGTTGGTTTAGGATGAGAATAATCAGTCTATATTTGGACACAACTGTCCTAAGAGATAGTTCAACACATGCTTGAGTGGAGCTACAAAAGCATTATTAAACGACCACAGCACAAAAACAGCTGCAAAGATTTCTGGTTTGCATAACTGCACCTACCTGTTCGATCTCCTTAAGCTTCTTGTGATAGTGCTCTAGTTTCTTGTGCAAGTGTGCGATGGTCTGCGCTGATTTCTGGTTCTTCTTCTCGAACACCTGCTTGATCCTGGACGCCTGCTGTTTGTCTGCGTTGTGGGCTAACTTCAGGTACTCTGCAACGTTGTCGTCACGGGCCTCCTGCTCCACACGAATCTGCTCGGTGACCTTCAGGACCTTCTGCTGCAGGTGGTCAAGGGCAACACGCGTACGCTGCGGCTCACCAACCCCAAAACTCTCTGCACCCCCACAGGCCATGACCCCAGATGTTGGTGTTGGTGTTGGTGTTGGTGTTGATGCTGCTGCCGCCACCGCCGCTCCGTCCGCGCTGATGTTACTGTCAGAGCCTCCATGGCTGGTGGTGGAGGGTAAGCCGAGAGTTGACACCTCGCTCTTGTCCAGCTGAGGGGAAGAGAGGGAAGGGGGACGTAATCAGGGGTGGAGAAACAAGAGTACTCCAACTACTACAGATAAAGTAGTAATAAAAGGACCATCACATATACTAGACAAAGTATCAAGGAATATTATTTTGAGTAAAGCCATGGTGTTGCATCCTGATTGAGATTATTTATCCTTTATAGTTTTTTTTTAAAAGGTTTCCCATGTGGGAAAATACATGAATCTTACATGACTTAGTATCCATCTGATTGGGCTCAACCAACCAAGCTTTGGTACTTTATATTATAATAACCATACACTATAGGCTTTCATTAGGGTCCATTATTCCCCAATCATTTCCTAAAAGTGTCCAAGAACTAATAATAGGGAAACTACTGTAGACAAGGTGTTACCATTTTAATTCGTTTTTTACAGTGTTCAATGCAGAAATTATACATGTATCTACAGAGAACTGCACAAATTACCATAGAATTCAACACATTTGAGGTTTTCAGAAATAAATAAATATTACAATAATTACACAATAATACATACATAATTATTACAGAGTTGTTACAGAAAATGTATTAGGGAACTGCAGACTCTTAAAATAAACCTCTGTTAATCACGTTGGCCTCTGCAGAGAGTCAGTCACTTATGTCCGTAATTGATTTGTTGGAGGGAACACAGAAAGGCCATCATGCATTAATTAGATGATACATAATTAGTCGGCTTCCTGCTCAGCACATTCCTGCTTCGCCACAAACAGGTTACCTACACCTTTAATTTAAAAACGCATCATGAAGAGGTACAAGATGAAGGTAAAGCATGCTGCACGGACCATTAACACACACGATGGTTACAGATAATGATGATGATGATGATGATGATGATGATGATGATGATGATGATGATGATGATGAAATGGTCTATTTTTAAATGCTTTACATTGTACATCTCAGTCTGTTCTGGATCATTCTGTCTCTTTGATCCAGGAAGGAAGTCCCCGGAATGTGTGATATGTAAGATGCGTGTGTCTTGGCAGATGGTGGGATGGTTAATGACCCACAGCCTGACGTCCAAACAGAGTAATCAGACCCTGCAAACATGAGCTCAGACACACACCAAACATCTCATCCTGCTGCTCTAATTTCTTCAGACGGGACGGTGCAAAGGATTTATTTTATTTGCGTGACAGTGCGATGTGAGCACATGCTCCTATACATAAATCAGCCGGAGCGAGGCAGGCGGTTTGTTTTCTTCCTTTTTTTAATAGACAAAGTAGGTTACAAACGCATTGTAATGGAGCGAAAAAACAGATGACTCCAGCCCCTGGTGGTTAATCATTTCCTTATCTTGTCTTAGAAAGTGAGATGCAATACGCTAAGCAAAGACTCATACGTGGAGGGGGGTTCAGTGTATGGTGAGCACAAGACAACAGAAAAAAACAGATGTAGTGGGGATGAATCCAGCGATGGATAAAAAAAAAAAGAGGCTCCTGTGGATCGGAAGAGAAGGCTGTGATGAGGATGGGGATGACGGATATCTTAAAAAAAACGGAGAGGAGGACAGGGCATGCCTGCGCCTCCTCTTCTTCCTCGAGGACACAGTGTGACATGAGAGACGGCCGATGGATGCAAACACATGAGGATGAGACACAAGCAGCACAGCAATAAATTAAATCAGAAACGTTACCATACTGCTTTAATCCAATTTTTGCAGTGCCATTGCAAGTCTGTGTTCGAGGCCCATCCTTCTCCTCCTCCCTCCTCCTCCCCCTGTGCTCACCGAGGAGGAGCCCCCCTCCTCAAATATCCTCACCCCCAGCCGCTGTCTGGCTGACTATCACCTCTCTGGATCCTAACGCTCCATTGTTAGAGCAAACATCGATATCTGCAGCCTCCCTCTCTCCAATGCTCTGGTCTATGCCTCCCTCCCTCCCTCCCTCTCCTTTGTGTGCTCCCTCCGCCTCCCCCTGCCTCTCTTACCTCTCGCTCTCTCCCTCTCTGTGTCGTTCAGTCTGAACGCAAATGCTAGCTGTCCTCCTGCCCTATAATGGATGTGGGAGCTAAGGGACAGATGATGGAGGGAGATGGGCGGGGGAGGGGAGAGCTTAGCGCAGGCGTGCAGGTGCCTCTGTGCCAGGGGAGAGAGAAGGGGGGGGTTAGCACAGCAGGGCCTGCTCTGGGATGCAGGGATGAGATGCCAAAGTACATATTTAATGTCTGTCTTATTCAACTTCTTCACAAAGGAGGGAAAAAGTGTCCTGCCTGGGCTGCTGGAAGTTGTATTCACCAAACTTAAAATCTCTCTGTGTGAGTGAGAGATACTAGGTACACAATCTATCTTCATTTATTAGCATGCATATGTCATTCGTTGATTATATTTAGTATTATCAATCCGATTGTTCAAAGTAACATAAGCTGTCAGGTGTAGAGTAAAAAGTACTTGCTTCTGAGTTGTATTGTGAATATAAAGTTCAGGAAATATATGCTTAATTACCTGAGAATTGTATTAAAATACAGTTCTTGAGTATAGATGAGCACTTACCATCCACCAATGATTATTACTGACTTGTTTGTAACAACGTGTCCTATTTTAAAAGATGGTCAAAGACATCTGTAGCTTTCAAGTAAATGTACTGAAGTAAAAATAACAGTCACTATATCCTTAAGTGTAAGTGAATATCCTTTTAAAGTAGACTACAAATAAAGCAAAACATTCATAAAAACTTTTATTAGAACATTTTATTGGAACTTTCATAATAATTAAACAAAAACTAAATTAACACAGGTCATAATAAATCGCAATAAATAAAGATAAATCTTTTGTTTGTAGCTTTATAACATAAACAAACAATATACAAAGGACCTACAAACAGAAGTGCACTTTGTTCTGAGTAATGCTGTTATTCGCTTAGTTTCCTTTTTGCACTGGCAAACATTTCAAAACTGTCAATTGGTAAGGATTAGCATTACAGTGACCTTGTTTAACACCCATTCAGATTACCATAGCAGCAGGATATGCCAACAGAGACATAACTAAGTGTCAAAAACAAACGTTTGTTTTGAGGCAGATAATAACACGGTGTCTGTTACAAATGCAATATGCTTTCAAATAGAAAAGTATAGCACTCCAGCTTTAGCTTACTAAAAAACATAATTTCTTCTGAGAACACTATCTTTTGATTTGATTTTATGGAGCTTTGAATACAAATACCATAAAAAAAGGCCCTTGATATGGGTGCTGAGGATACATCGCCTACCAGATGTATGTGCAATACTGCAATGTTTTTTTTTATTGCTACTTAACAGTGCTGTATTAAACTCTATAATATCTGAAATATATCTAAATAAACGTAAATATAAGGATTTTAAGTCTTCCAAAGACATGGTGCTCTGCTCCTAACCTACTAAATCTGGTGCTGTACATTTGTCAGAGTCCGGAAAGGGCACTTCTGGAGATGTGCTTTGAAAATGTATTGACGTACAGTCAATAGAAGGAATTAAAGAGGACATGATGGCACTTCTATAATTTAAAGCCTAAAGCAAAACAACTGTGTGTACAGGATGTCAAAGCTCTTCAAGCAGTCACAAGTACATGATGGTAGAAAAAAAAATTACTTTACATCCGGATATAATAAGTAAAAAATGCATAAAAATGGACTCCTCATGATTCACATTAACAAAAAACATAGTGGAATTTAACAAAGGAGCCAAAGGGCTTCATCTATTCTCTACTATATTCATCATTTTGCAGATTTGTCATAGCCACTCCTTAAGGATTATAACCGACATGACCTCTGTTCCTAGTGAATACAGTAATGGGTTCATCCATCACACCTCTCACAGGTCCAGAGTCTCTACACAGCAGGGACGTGACCGCTTTTTCAGCGCTGTAGGAAGCACAGTAGGAAATGTCTTTGGCATGCCCATGATCCAAATGACTATAAATCCACTGATTCCAGAGATTACCATTAATCTTTTCTGCTCAAATGTCCCCTTCTTGACGTTGAGGAAAACCCCCCCACCCCCCCCCCTCAGATTGGACACAGTACCCTAATTAACCTCGTTGTTTTTTAATGTGATGATGACACATAGCTGAGGTCCCTTCTGTTGGCAGAGGATTCCCGGGGTCAGAGCCCTCCTAGGGAGTGGGCTTTCAGAGGCTGTGCAGAGCGTGGATTTCCTGAGTCTAGTAATATGGGATATTGGCACCTCAGCAGAAAACTACACCAAAATCACTCTCCGGATTTGCGTGGCGTCCAAATGAATCTTCTTTTAGACTGGTAGAAATCTGTTAGGATAAAGAACAGAAAACTCAGCAAGTGCTTATCCACATCAAATCAAAACTTATTTCACACTCTAATTAACATATTACGTTATTAATAACTATAATAAGTACCTGTTATGTTGGTCTGTTTCCTCTTCAGCCCTGTGTCCTCTCGTCTCTCTGGTGTTTTCTCCGGGTGGAGCTCACATCTCTCTGGTGAGCAGTGGATGTTCTCATCCTCACTGTGAGGCTGCCCCACCCTTCCTCTTTCCCGTGGCTTTAGATCTGCCTCTGCTGCTCTCTGACCTTCTGTGTGTCCCAGACCAGGCAGACATGATCTGTAGAGCAGGGGTACCTCGCTGCCTGGGATGCCCTCCCACTGGAACACGCTCTGCTCCAGAGGCTTATCTGAGACGAAGTCAAAGCCCCATCGCTGGCAAGCCTGGTCCAGGTCTCTCCTCAGGGAGGCCTGGTACTCCACCTGCAGCTGCTCTCTGTCCACGGGGCCAAACAGGCTCCTTTGGGCCGGGCTGTTCCCCAGGGCGGTCAGGGTCTGCTTGTGAAGATCCATCGTTATGCACTGTAGAAACAGAGAAATCACTGGTTAGTTGTCTTTTCATTAAAAATGAATCTGACAGTATGCCAAAACAATTGATGAATTAATTAGCTGTTATCAAATACCTCCGTATCGCGAATGCAACAATATTGTCTGTTTGAAAATTGGTGCTTTTAAAAGATCGAACTAAATTTGTAATAAACAAATATCAGTTATGTTGAAATTATGACTTAGTGGGTAGCGACAAATAATACAAATTTGAAAATAACATCCTTTAACTGTTATACGAACTTTGAAACATGGAAAAGACAATATTGTATTACTAATTCATATATCATCTGGTATCAAATCACACATTTGATATACTATCACTAATCACTAACAAAAATCTTAATTTCCAAACCAATCTACCCAAAACAGAAGTTATTTTTGATTGTCTCAATGTGAAAGTAGAAATCCGGCTTACCATGTCTCTAGTCAGTGAGAACTACAGGGATTCTGAGACTACTAATACTGAGCAGCCTTTTATAAGCCAGAGAGCAGCCAGTGACTCATGGAACCTCCTGTCTGAATCTCTGGTACATGCCTGGACATAATCTCAGGCAGACATGTAAAGGCAAATCCTCAGAGGAGGCACACAGAGCCACCAGTAGGGGTCAGTGTAAGACCCACAAAAAACCTCGATGTGAGGGTCATAGAAGTCAGATTGATGCATTTTATCAGTGCTTTCCACATCTGTATATTTATATAGCACTAATATACAAACTATTACAAGTTTAAAGGGGTTAAATAAATGGCACCTTCCTGTAAGAGCTACAGGAAGGAATCAGCTGAGTCTCAGGAGAATAAAAAGTCATTACAGTCATCCAGGAAGGGCCGGGCAGAGTTTCAGACAACCATCAGGAGAAACCTAGACTGTGTATATAAAGGGAGAAACCAAGCCCAGCCTTACTATCCAGCTAACGCAATACAGGGGAGGAGAGGACCTTGCTATTAGAATAAGAATAAAATGGGAGACGCTGAATAAAATATATATATATTTTAAGTATACATATGGATACTTCCCAGGTTACTCATTCATTTAAATAAATCCTTAACAGTATGTGTTTTCAATATGATCCCTGCTAAGTTGATAAGATTCATATCATACATGTGAATATTTGCACCAAAATTATGAAATGTGACATTTCTCCAGGAACATCTTAGAAACCACATTTATAATTTCCAGATTAACCGAAAAACAAACATTCCAATTCCAAAGTTAACCTGTTAACTATTGATATAGATTTTTTTTCAAATTTCAGAAATTAAATTAGTCTAAATATATGCAGCTTTTGATTTCAGAGTGAAGCAAACTCATAATTTGTCTGTTCTTTATTATAACAGGAATTGGTGTAATATAATCACTATGAAAAACAGTGAACAAAACATTTGTATTATATTTTGGGGTTGTTACTATTAATTCCATGTAATAATAAATGTAAGAATCTAGTAGTTTCAAAAAAGTTCAGTTAAAATGTTCATCTTTTACAGTCACAGAAACAGACCCAGGCAGATGTTTACTTAAACGGTTCTTTGGCCCTCAAGGGGCACTTTTTTTTAGTAAAAAAGATACTTTTAATACATGTTTAAGACTAGAACAGACTTGCTCAAATGGTTCATGTTTGTTTTAACCATAGGCTGGTCCATTTATGAACCAGCCTTTCTATGGACCTGCATGTCTTAACGTTAAATGTGGTGCCTTAATGGAATATATCTTATATACAATTTGCCAAAAAAAAATTACATCTAATAAATCCTCTTCGATTTTAGGTGAAACTGTGGGGTGCATTAATGTGAACCACCATGGTCCCCCCACCCCTTTTTTCCCCCTTCCTCACGGGAACCTACGTCAGAGCCAGGGGGGGGGGAGCTCAACTCTGTGGCGGGAAAATGAGTCCACATGTGCGGCGGAGGCAGAGCAGAGACCCTGCCCACTTTACTACAGTGATCCACGTGAGGCCGGAGCCCGTGGCCACTAGTCGAACTAGACTGTCACTGCCCTTCCTCTTCATGCACATTCTACTCACATAACTCGGACAGGAAGCCTGTATGAGTTTTACAAATGTGTACTCAACTTTTAAATTATAAACTAAAATCTTGAGAACTCATATGTAGATATAAACCCCTTTAACTTAAAGTCAATGAGAAGGGGAAGCCATTAGTGATGGAAACATATTTTTAAGTAAATATCTCCAATTTATAACTTGTGTATTTAGGCTCGAATAAACAGAATTGAGATATGTGTCTGTAGTTGCTTAAAAACTAAAACATAATCAAAGGCTTGAAAACGAACATTTAAAGCATCAGTTTACTTACATTATCAGCTGACTGCAGTCTGGTCCAGGTAAAATCCTTCATATTTCAAACCTGATGAATAAAGTTTGTTTTCTCTGTTTTTCACAACAGATCTGGTGTCAAAACAATCCTGATGCTGATGCTGTTCAGCCCACCACTTCTGATAAATCCGATACGATTAAAGCGAGCGGACGGTACTCCTTGATATTTTCTCAAAGTTTTCTCTGGGTTGTGGGCTAGACTTTTATAAACTCCGGAGGGCGGGGACCCTTCTCTATCCGTACAGGGGCGGGGTCTGCCGGCACACACATGGAATATTGTCCGGTAAACACACGTGAGAGTAGTCAGTTAGTAGTAGTAGTAGTGAGGAAACTCCAGCTCAGAACGGTCCAGCATGGCATCTCTTCCTGCCTCTCACTGCGCATGTCAGAGGACCGCTGACTGCTGAAATACCCGGATGAATATTTGTTTCCTTCCTCCCATTTCAGCACATGCACATTTTTCAGTTTCAAATCCCCCCAAAAGAAGTGGAAGAACAACATACAGGGGTTAGTGGGGGGAGTATTACACCTTTTACTTTTAGTTGAATACAACAAACAAATAAACAATGTAGGGAGGAATGTTCATCACTTTCACTTTACAGTCTAATGATACTTTTAGAATTACTTTTTTATTCGACTTAATCCTTCATCTACATTACACTTTGGAGGCAGATATGGTACTTTTTACACATTTATTTTTTAGCTCTAGTTTCAGGTTACCTTTCAGTAGAAAACTATTAAAACAAAATATAAATCCACTAATATATATACAACAACAATATGTTGTTGTAGGTTCAGCTACCCAACAAGTATGTAGAATAATCTAGGGCTGTCCTCAACTAAATAAATTCTTAGTGGATTAACACTCATCAGTTCTTGTAAAAAAGAATCTGTATTTGTTCCTATTGAGGCCGTTGTCACAAAACTTTCTGGGCTTGTAACTCAGTCTCAAGATGTCTGTTACAAGTTTCTTTAACATTTACATTAGTTACATGTTGTTATTAAAAGTATTTTCCATCCATCCCACTTGTTTTCAAGCCGGGCTTGTTCCTACAGTAAAGCTATATTCAGTGGTGATATGTACAGACGTTTTAACTCGATGGAAAGACAGTACACACTGTTTGTTGCTGAGCAGCAGCTGTGTGTCTCCACATTTGTACAGATGAGTAAACACTTTATCATCTCAGTTTGAAGGCAGCTGCATGGTGCGGAGGGTCTGCAAGCCCCATTAAGTTATCTCTATTGATTATGACACGCAGGCCTTGTATTTGCATTGTGAAAAGTTTGATTTGATAAATCACACCAAATGAAGCTTATAAAAGAATATGCATGGCCATAGTACACTACGTTATCAAGTTGGTTCTTTCTAATAACCTGACACTATGGTTAAATAGCATGTGTAAACTTAGCACTACAATTTTAACGCTCAATGTAGGTACCTGATTATATTGTAACGTAAACATTGTAGTTATTATAAGAATTTTAAAAAAATCTGATAAATAATAAAAACAATAAAAACAAGTGTATTGATTCTCCTATACCCAACTCGAGCCATCAGTGTTGAACTTTATGTGTCCAAATGTAAACAACACTGCACCATTGTTATTCTCCTTAAAACAGCATGTAAATTTAAGACAAAACTGTATAGCGTTTCGGCATACATACATGATATATGACAATACTACAGTTAATGGACTTTAGCCATGCATTAACACAAACTAATGTATACACTGACAAGGTAATTAGTTAATTACTGAAATGACTGAAGTGCTGCCACTTGTATTTTGTTATTTGTGTACAAAGCCAGGCTTCCAGCTGCTGGCTGTAGCCTTGACAACAAACAGGAGTGTTGTCCATCCTCTCTCATCTAACTTCAGATGAGAAAGGTATTTATTTGCTCTTTTAATGTTTGGTCTACAAGAAAAAAAAGTTTATAGAAAATAGTGGGGGGAAAGACATTGGAGGTCTTCAATAGTCTTTCAATCGTCAGTATACATTGTCTTAAATCCAAGGATAACAACTGTACCATAATTTAACAGATAGGTGAATTTAATTAACCTAGTGTAACAAATCTAAAATTAGCACCAATAAGCTGCATCCTTGTGTTTTTCAGATCAGTCATAACTCGCTGGTGGAAATGTTGGAATTCCCATAGACTGAACGGGGAATACCGAAGGTTTCTGAATGGATTCCCGCGTGTTCCTGTATCCCTGGATACCGTGAGTCATGACTTGTATGATGTCATCAGGGTTTGTGTAACACGTGGAAAAGCCAAAAGCGCGCGTTGTTTTAGGGGCGTGACCAAAAAACAACTATTTAGCAGAGGGAGAGAAGCGGGGGCTATCACTTTCCGTGGGAACCAGAAAATACCCAGTTGTAAATTAAGATAAAGCCCTTTATTGCCACAAGAATATAAAGCTTAACCAGACAGTGCGAATTACAATGTAGGCAAACACTCTTTATGGTGTTTTATTATGAGGTGAGTAATGTCTCAATCTCACTGAAAATAGTTCAGGACTTCCCACGGTCTTCAGGAACTTTTAATAGTCTGCGTGTTGGGGAATAAGTAGTTCCATGTGATTATATAACGTTATAAATGTGTCGGTTTAAGTAAAAATAAACATGTAATTAAATTACAGTAACTTATCAAAAGGCTGGTTTACACAAAGGGGTTACATCCAATTATGTTCTAAATATATATAAATAACATTTATTATTTTTCAACCTACATTTTAGTCTTACGCTGCTTGGTTTGTAGGATTTTCCAATGTGTTGCCCAGTTTCAAGCATTTGTGGAGGACGTTTTGGCACTATTAGTTAATGTAGTTAAAATAGTGACATTTCTTAAGACCTTTTTAACAGGTTCGTAGTCATCTGTAAATTACATTTAAAAAATAACCATCCCAAACTGTATGCACCACATTATAGAATATAAAGTGCTCCATTAAGTTTCTGATCCACAATGACAGCCTTTTTTTTTTAGAGAAGTGTATAACTATACTAAAGAACCTCAAACAAATACATACAGTTGACTGACTCAAAGTTCACCATCTATTTCTATTAAGTTTTCCTAACTATAACAATGTGTTGCCTCATAATAAGTGGTAAGATAGATCATGTTAATTAAGCTTATATACACAAGGCAAAATCTCACAATCACACCAAGTGATCTTGACAAGGAGTAATAAGGAAACAAAGACTGAAGTTAGCAGGTGTAAAAGTTTTACATTTCAAGAGAAATTGGCTTATTAAAAAAGGGAAAGCAGAGCAGCGCTACCCCTACCATATAAATTGCAGCATACACAAATAGGAAACAGGAATTGAGGAAACACTTTAACTGTACCATTTAATGTGTCATTGACTCCTGTTCAGCTCCTCAACCTATACTGCAGGAGTGCCCTCTTGTGGAGAAAAATAATGCAGTATTTGCTTTTCCTCAGGAAATAAATATATATAAACTGTTCTTTTGTACGAGGGAGTATTAGGGCCACACTTAGAAGAAAAAAACAGAGAGATTTCGAGAAAAAAGTCGTAATAATACGAGAATAAAGTCATAGTTACGAGAATAAAGTTGTAATATTACGAGAATAAAGTAATAATTATGAGATTAAAGTCGTAGTTTCATAAGTGACTTGAGAAGGGGACTTGGAGGAGATTGTCTCTTTTCTGCAGGAGGAAATGGCTGCTTCTGGCCGACTACAT